GCCCGTATAGGAAGGAAGAACTCTGAGGGCCATTATTCAGTTAACTGACTAGAATGTACTTTCATTTCTAAAATTCTGAGGAAAATTCCCTGGTAAGTTTTGAATGTTGGATTCTGCACGTTCTGCAATTTAATACATCTTGTGATTTCAAAATCCATACTGCAATATTTAGATGGGTCATTCCTTTTTTCATAGCAGAACAGTGATTACCTTCTAATTAACATTTGAGGCAAATACACAAACATTACTCCTAAGAATCATTCAACTAATACTTAGTGGCACAAATAGATTTTTTCTTATTAGTATGAACAGGGCTGAGTACCAGGGCCAATTCTTATTAATTCTAAATAAACAGGAAGTGTACAGTTTGAATGACTGAGATACATAACACATGGTCGTTATATCGACCTGGCTCATATTAAATTTACTGCCATAGACATTATTTAATAGGTATAAGTACATTATTTTAACATTTAGGTAATTTAATAAAATAATTTTATGTGTACATCAAAAAAAATGAACCATAAATCATGCATGTATAGAGTTTTATATAGAACCACGGATTAAGCCCTGTGTGCGTTAGGTCTGTCCATCTGGGATAGCTCTTTCTGGCTCCATGTGATGACTTATTTGATACCTTCTTCCTTCAGGCAACCTTTCCTTGTGCAATATCCCCCACTTCTGTCTGACTCTTACTCAGCCCTGCTCAGACATCTGTCTATCCCCAAAGGCCACACCTGTCTTACCTTGGGATCATCTGCATTTTTCTCCCACTCTGGGCAAAGGTGGATCTTGGAGAGTCAGTTTCTGCCTGGAAGCTAGCAGAACTGCTAAAAAATGGCCAGGGTCTCTCCACTCTTCCTGCCCATCCCCAACCCATCTCACAGGAACACAAGAGAAAAAATGGTACTCACTGGTTGCCATCCCTTTTAATTTAGCTGCGCTCACTCACACAGACTTCTATTACAATACAGACTGATTTTTATATAATAGCCTTTTGTGAAAATTCACTCACTTTGGCTTTTTGAAAAACTAGTTTTTCACAAATCATTCACATTGTAAATGAAACCCACTGTGGTCAAATGCACTCTTCTCTCTCCCAGAGCCTTAGTTCTAAAGCAATTTCTAGACCTTTAGGGAAGTAGTCTCAAACACTGTCACTGGGGAGAAAAATATTATACAATACATATTTATACACTCAACTCCCTGGGACATGGAATCTGTGGTCCTTGTTGAGGCAGCTACCATACCCTTTGCAGGCTTGGGGGAGACAGGAGGTGTAGTGAGTAGGTTACCTCCTGGTGTGTTTGCTGCTCATGACATCCATTCTTAGGTGGCTGCTGTCTGCCTCCAGCTGGAGCATGCTGTAGGGAGCCCACTGGCTAATGACTAGTTCAACTTCTTAGTTGCATGACATTGGAGAGCTCACTCATTTCCACTCTCACCTCCCCCGTCCTTACAGGATGACACTGAATTGCCCAAGTAGTCACTACATTGATGAATTTATTTCAAGCATCCCAACCTCTCCAACACACAGCCAGGCACCCCGAACTCCATATAAAAAAGCGTGCCAATTTCCACATGAAGATGATTTAAAATACAGAGATTACTGAAATACAGAGATGAGGAAGAGCTGGCAGATACTGACTAGACATAGTCCTTGCCCCATTTCTACGCCCGTACCTTTCCATTTTAATGAAGAGAGACACACAGCTAATTCCCAGCAACCACTGTGATTCAGTCATCAGCTTTAATTGCAACCAAAGCGATAGGGTAAGAGGAGGTCACTTTCAGTCACCATGGCACTGCCCGCATCGGCCCGTCAGGCACCCACCCATCCTTTGAGAAGGCACACTTACCACAGGATGGAGTGGTGTTCCTGGAAACATAAATTGCATCTGCTGGGCTAGCATCGCCGCTGCAGTCTTTTGCTGGATCAAGTTGTTCCTCCCGTTAATTTCTAGTTGAGTTTTTAAGTGTGTCGGAGGGTGAAGGTACTTGCAGTTCTCTCTTGAACAGCGACCCTGCAAAATGAACAATCTGAGGTCAGGACTGCAGTAGGGAGCTGGCCACTCCAGCACTGGGAATGTCACAGTCATCACTTAGCTTCCAAGGCAGTGTGTGTGTGTGTGTGTGTATGTGTTAGAAAAATCAAATATTACATGATTATCAAGGTCTCCCCCTATCTTCCTCCTCCTCCTTTCTTCCCCTCTTTCTTTATGTCAAACCTACACAACTCATTCCAAAGAGATGGCAGCCGAGAGCAAAGAGGAAGGCCTCCACAACCAGAGGGGCATGCTTATCTTGACCCGCAAGGTCTTTGCTGCTCACTAGTTTGGACATGCTTTAGTGACGTGCTACATGTCCAACGCAGATGAGAGTCAGGGTTTTAAGTGTGTATTCCAGAATGGCCAAAGATATTCAGTTTGCAGCTGTTAAGGGTGAGGCAATGGGTAGAGACTCCTGGAACTGCTTGCTGATACCCACCCAGGTGATATCTCAGTGTGAGCGGGATCAACACCTGCAAGTCTGATACATCCTTTCCTCACCCTTCCCCTGGAAAGGAGGCTCTGATTCAGCACCACAGGTGACAGCATGAGAAGGAGTGTTTGTGGCTATGTTATTGTCTGGACGTGGAAACCAGCAAAATGAGGTTGAAATAAAACAGCAGGTGATGGGTGTGTATGCAAACAGACCTGAGAAGTAACTGCACACGGAATTACAAAATCCCCAAGTTTGCAAAACTACCAGTCCTATGAGAATTAGACTGATGTGTGAGTTATGCAACTTCCAGGGAAAGAGCAGCAAACTGTGTTAGTCAGTTGGAGTATCACCATTCCCTAAAGAATCAGTCTATTTGCAACCAGGCAAAAAAGAGTATGGGTTTTGTTTATCAGATAAAAAAAAATTACAGTCAGCGCGGTGGAGCTGGAGGAATGAATTTGTTTACAGCCACACTGACGCGTAACATCTGGCCTTCTCTGTGTTTCCCACCGATTCCAGCTGCACTTTTGGCCTCTCTAGCTTCTCCTCGAGTGAGAATTTCCCCTTGAAGGCATGGTGGTGGGCAGACCTGAGTCCCAGGCTCACCCCTGGTGGTCTGATGTGCCATCTTGAAGCTCAACTCAGCAGTGTGAACAACTGCCTCACTGTCTTGGGGAAGACATGAAAATGAATTGATATCTCATGGGTCTTAAGCATAAACAACATCAGATTTCTTAGAGCCAAGCTCTTGTTGTGGATTTCCTACTCGGCTTCCTGTATGCAAACAGACATCTTCAGGCCGTGTGTACTGCGATGGTTCTAGGAAAGCTGGAGTTGCTCCTGGAACCAACTCTAACCATCCTCTCCCTGTCTCTGATTCTCTGCAAATCTGCTTTGGATGATTTTGCTTTGTAACAAACGCTTTATAACGTCCCGGGTCCCCCATTCCTAAGAAGTTATTCCGGTCATCTGTTAGTTCACATCTTTCTTTTCTCTCTTGACAATCCCCCTGGCCTATGAGTTTGTTAAAATTTAATCTGCAGGAGAGCATTCAGATGGCGCAAGTTCCTTCGTCTCATGATGTAGCCAGTCAGGGACTCAGATGCCTTGATGTTGGGTGTCCAGATGAGCCCTGTCATCTATGGAGTGATGGAATCTGAAACACAGCTACTTCCCACGATCTCGAGAGTGGAAAGATATTAAACAAAGGAAAGTTCTATGAAAGCTCCGGCACCTCCCGTGACCCCAGTCCCAACTCTTCAGACATAGGCACTGCACTTGGCACCTGGCATCCACCAGATGCTCGTGTGGGTCTGTGTACACGGATGTGTAGGTCGGGTGAATGCAGGGGCTGGAGAAACAAGATTCTGGGGGGGGCAATGAAATCAGCAAACGTCCACAGTGCATCAGGATGGTAGAATGTTCAGAAGTATAATTATCAATTTGATCACTAATATTCTAATCCAATGCTTTGCTGCTATTCAAACAGGCCTCAATTGGCTGGAAAATATGGCTTTCTTGTTGATGCTGCCAATCTTTCTTACAACCAGAGCCCTTGGAGAACTCTATTGGCCATTTTTTCCTGGTGATAGAAGATGGTTTGTAACACTAGATCCATCATTTATTGAAGGAATCTTCCTTTTCATGAGAATTAATTCAATTTCCCACTGTCCTCACTTACACACTCTGGGTACAGAATAGTATTGAACATCAATGTGTCAGGCAATTTATATGTGGTTATCTCATTTTCTCCTTACAACAGCGGTGATGATTCCCTACTTCACTGAGTAGGAGACAGGATCCAAAGAATAAGATAATACTTGAAGATCATCTATTTACTTAGCAGTGGGGCTGTATTATCAACCCATGTCTTGCTTGACTCAACTCAATTCTATCCCTTCACTGAGATATTTATTTGCAATAGTTGAAGTCCAGGAAAGATAAAAATCTAGTACTTCTACATCCTTTGCAAAACAATAGGTTGCAGAACAAAAGTTAAATATACTGGCATACACATATGTAGCTTTCGGGACTGAGAGACAACAATTTGCTTGGTCTGTGCCTTCGAGGGTGCACAGGCATTGGTAAACTCCCATGTTATGGGCTCCTAGCTCAGCTCCTCTCTTTCCTACCTATATAACTTGGAATGATTGTTATTATTTTCTTCATTTATACCATGAAAAATAATGCATCCTCCTTGTGGCACTGTTATGGTAGCTAAATAAATTAAGACACGGTAAAGTTCAGAGGGCTGCCTGGCAAACAGGAAGTTCTGGGAAATGGTGTAAGTATGCAAGGAAAGTATTTGTGTATGGTGTTTTGTTTAGAGCAAGTGTAAGACCACAGGTTTACTAGTGTTCTTATTAGTGCCTTGTTTCTCCTATGGGATAAACTTTCATGATAAAGGCCAGTTAACTGTGATTATCCAAATACCATGTTGGAGTTATTTTCAGTTCTATAATTTTTGTTAACTGTCCCTATATAAACAAATAACCCTAAGCCCTAGATCAGCCTGGTGTCAATACTCTAAGGAATGCTAGTTTGTGGATATCTGAGGCATAATAATTCTAGCACTGAAGGACTCTAGGAGACAGAATTTTAGTAAGAGACCCTATAGGATTCCAAAATTCTAAAGGAAAAGCTATTTTCAAAATATAATGAGCTATCTGACAGGGTAAAACAATTTGTAGAAAAATTCCTGTGAAGACACAGATTTCTCAGGACATGTATTCTTGCGCGCGCGCACGCGCGCGCGCGCACACACACACACACACACACACACACACACACACCAACAAAACATCCATGTTATCAAAACAGGCTGTCATAACTGACTGTGAGGGGACAGTGTAAAGAAATGAAAGCATCTCCATAGACCACCATGGAACAAAACTGAGGCGTCAAAGACAGTGTCTCCTGAGGTTAGCCCAAGCAACAAAGACAAAAATGTAGTGTAAAATTTCCCTGCAGCTGCCAGGATGTTTTTCTTGTTTTCTTTGCTGTTAATATTTCTTCTCGGGGAATGAAGGAAGCAAGGTCTGGCCGGCCCTACCCGGGAAAGCTGGGTGGGCTGGAGTTGGGAGCACACCACTGCAGTGCTCTGGGAGGGTGGTACTATAGCTGAGAGCTGGAGCTCAGAGTGAGGCCAGACGTGAATTCATATTATTCTAATCTGGAATCCCCAACTCATAGCTCACGAAAGCTTGTTCACCTCTTATGCAGTCCTGCCAGGTGTAGAGATGGTGGATGGGTGTGGATTCTGGGCCAGGTCTCTTTCATCACCTCATTCTACAGATACTTAGGACTGAGCACTGTGCTGAGTGGCTGTCAAAGGTGAGCACAAACGAGACACACTGTCTTCCTTCCTGGCACCTGTGGGCTGGTGGTAAAGACGATGGTAACTGAGACTTGTGTAATCACTAATTATGAGATGTGTTCTATAGGGGGTGCTGACAAGCAATGGCAGGAGAGGGACAGAAATGACAAGTGTCATCGAAACTGAGAACTGAAAGATACATAGGAAACCACCAAGGGAATGGGTGGTAGCTAATGTGTGCACTCATGTGTGTACGTGTGTGTGTGTGTGTGTGTGTGTGTGTGTGTGTGTGTGTGTGTGTGCACGCACGTTGTACATGTATATTGAATGTATGGTGTACATGGCATGTAGTTATATGTGTTGTGTTTGGTATGTTTATGTGTACTGAGTGTGTGTGTGTGTGTGTGTGTGTGTGTGTTGCTGTAAGTCACCAGAGGAGGAGACTATGCTTTGGGAAGGAATGTCCCATCTGGGAACTTGCATGTGGTTTCCCAGGATGGAGCCTAGAGTATGTGAATTGGGGTTGGGGAGGTGAGAAAAGAAGATGCAGGAAGAGGTGGGCAGAGGCCAGATAACAAGAAAAATGAGACCGCAGTTAAGGGACATGGTCTTCATGGCCTCTGACAGTTTGTAACCACAGGTCTGATCTGATTTCTACCTATGGCACATTTAAGCTCTGCTTGACGATTCACTGTTCCATCACATCTTATTGTTGTCAGGATGACTTGTTTTAAAATCCTAGTAGAATTCTGATTGATTTTGAGTGGTTAACTCTACCTCTCCAAACAATCTCTACTGCAGGAATATCTAGGTTAGAAAGAAGTTTGAGTTTCAAGCAGAATTAACTTTATTAAATTAATTAAGCAGCCATGGTGGATCCCAGTACAGAGAATCCATACTGATACTCAACAGGATGAAGCAAGATACTTGATGAGTGTAACATGTCTTTGGCAGAGCAACAGACTTGAGCTACCAGAACTATACAGTCATTAAATTATATGGCATTGGATAGAAAAATTGCAGCTTTGGCAAAGAAAAACCTCAGAATCAGGTCGGTGGAAGAAAGAAAGAGTATAATAGAAAACTGTGTTTTTAAAATGCCTTAAAAAAAACAACAAGTAACGTTTAGAACCTTTTCCTAGTTTGCTCTTAATTGAGTATGTGAACTGGAATATGGAAGCAAGAAGGAAAATACATTACCCAAGGAGTTAAGGACTGGCCCTGGACAATAGAGCTTCCACGGGATCTAAGGGATACTTTATTCCACTGTTTGCCCTGTATTAGAAGGCCCACGATTTGAACACAGACCCCCTAGCAGAAACACTGAATTAATGAATGATTTTAATTGTGTGTTTGCCTCAGCCACAGGATGGGTCATAGATTGTGAAATGGCTCTTTGGGGGAATGGACTCCTAGTGAGGACCGGTTCCCAGCTATTCTTCTGAGCTCCACCCATCTTGGCTTTGCCCCGCCCCTCTCGGCTTTGCTTGGCCACTGGACTTTCAACTGGCATGTATCCATGTGAACAGGCCACACTGAGGTGGGACCCGGGGAGGGGGAGGGACAGGCCTTGCAGAGTGGAACCATCAGGGCAGACAATGACATGTGCTCTCAAAGTGACATTCTTGCATCCTAGAACTCACTGCTGGCCATGGAAGGTGGTTCCTGGGGACGGCGAATGTCCTGGACCATTGATGGGCACAGAAAAGCTACAGAAGGGCCTCTTAGACCCTGGCATTCTACAAGAATCCTGAAATCTGCAGTCAGGAAGTTTGCTCCTGGCCAGGGGTTACATTCCTGAGTTCCCTGTGTGGCCTGGAAAAGTCATTTACTAAGGATTAAGAAACAGACTAATAGGTCTTAAAATCCAGCTCTGTTCCTATTGCTGGGCGAACTTAGAGAGTGTGACCTGTGGCTGCCTTCTGTCCCATCTGCAAACATAGATAATAATAGTTCTCTAAACCTCGTAGCTCCCCAACAAAGGTCCAGAGTTAATTCATATGAAATGTTTAATGGTGTCTGGCGAACAGTAAGCACCATAGGCTTCGTTAACGTCGTCACCATCAGCATCATCACCAACACCATTAACCCCTTCTTTACCCAGTGAGTAATGACACCCCCTGTAAAAAAGCCACTGTGTGTGTAGTTTCTCTGCAGCCTTGATTCTGTCTGGCCTGTGCACCAAGCTCTTTAACCCGTTGCTACTCCTGTTCTCATACCCTGTGCCAACTCTGGATCTTTATCTTTTCAAAGAGCCTTAGATCTCTCTCTTTAACATCTGTCTCCTCTGCTGAGACTTGCCAGGGCTGGTCCACACAGCATGATTCACCCAGAGTTTAAAGCAGTAGCGCTCCAGTTGGAGAGCCCTGATTGTGGCTTTCTCTCCAGATGGCTGTGGGAACGTTTACTAGTACCTTATAAAAGCCCCTGTCTTGGTTTTCTCGCCTATGAGATGAGAGCAATCCTACATCAATGCCTTCCAACAATTGTTAGAGCCTGGGGAATAGCAGAAGCTGCTCCAAAAATATACATAAAAGGGTGAGTATGGTTTTTAACATCTCTTTTCTTGAAGCTTCCCAATCTGATAAAAACAGAGAGTCCACAAAAACCAACAGTTATGGTGAAAGCTGGCATAGGGGATGTCTGGCCAGTGCCCAGAAATGTTCCAAGACTTAGGAGAAGTCGGTGCAGCCAGATATGCAGAACACCAGCAGCAAAGGATTGAGTCCAAATGATGAGGACTAGGAGGACTTATTAAGTGCCGACAGTATACACGTCTCAGGTGTGAAAGCCCTCACCTGACAGCGCACCACCATCTGATCCTTGTGCCAGAGACATAGCTCAGCAGATATTTTCAGAGACTCAACTGGCTGGGTGGGCCGGAGGCTCACAGCCTCAGTTTCCCTGTAGCTTCAAAAATCTGTCAATATTTGTGAAGTGGGGATAGGTGGGCTGCGATTTGGTACAGGAGCTACATTTTCACAGGTTTACTATTCTCAGGTGTCAGAGTCAGGTCATCTAGGCTGAATTTAATGCTTGTAAGTAAAAGTGCAGGGAAATGGAATGCCTGCTTACATCAGAACCTAGTTCACTACATTAACTGTGGTCCTGAACCAGCTCTGTTCAAAGCAAGTGACAGACTGGCTTTTTGCCTTCTTTTGAATTAAAAGAACTGACTGAGCTGAACGAGCTCCTTGTATTATTAGCTGCAACCATACAATACAGCAGATAGACTACAAGCACACAATGGTGTTGGGATTAGAAGGAAACTGTAGGCTTGGGAGTAAACAATAACCAGAACTTCCATCAAAATGAACAGCTTCTCATGTCACTGGCATTATGTACAGATCTAAAGCAGGCCCTTTCTGCTTATTACTTGGTTCAATTTATAATGTGATTCTTCTTTTATAGACTTCCTATGCAATGATTTCCCTGTAAATAGCAAAGCTGTTACGCTTATTAGAGATATTGAAGGGGTTACTTGCAAATGTCTCTCTTCTGGGACAAGTTCCTTTCCCTCTGTGACTTCTTTGCTGTGGAAGAAACATGCAGGAAGCCCCGGGGTACAATGGAGAAGAACCCATACATGCCAGGAGGTAGTCACGGGCAACTTCAGCTGTGCCACGACTGACCGCTGCCAGCACTGTTGGAGTTTAGTGGCTCAGAAAGAAGAATTGGACTCAGGACACATAGGTGTGTGCACCCTGTTGCCTTTTCTTCCAAAAAAAGCTATCCAGGTGTCATTCTATCGCCTACACCAACCATGGTCTAAGGCCAGGGGTGCTCCAAGGGGCTAGAGTACTAACCCTGGAAGGGGTTGAACACCACTGCTGTTTCTCTGTGCATCTGCCTTTAGGGCAGATGTCCTCACTAGAGAGCTGGGGAGATGGAGGCTGTCTGTCACAGGTGTGCTCGGCAGGCAGGCTCGGACTGACTCACTGCGTGCCAAGGAATTGTCCACTCCTTTGGGAGCTGGTGGTGTTGGCACATGCCTTTATTTTGGGGACAATTTAAAATAGATAAAACAATAAATGGAGAAGGAAGGTAAAGGAGTCAAACTGCTTGTGTTTGGCATCTCAGAGCCTATGTAAGCATAGTTTTTAAAAATGGAATTTGATTGCCTGGCGGCCTTGGTTTCTCACACTACTGTGCCACATGACAGGGAAGAGTGTTCACTGTTGTCTTGACTGTTGAGCGAGCCTTCTCCTCCTCCTCCTCATTTTATCTGTTAGAAATGAAGACCTGCCAGTAAGGAGAAATCAGCAAAACCAAAAATAACCCCTGAGTTCTCTAGAGATCCAGGAAAACAAATTTCTGGGCACCAAATGCCTCGCTTAAAAAATTTTCCACTTCTATTTTTTTTCCCACTGAAGTGTGTCTTTTGAGTCACAAGGGGAGTTTGGTTAGTGTAGACCATGATGCACATCAACTGTGCAAGGAACCTGTCTGGTGGTGACTTGTGGGTTGTTCTGATATGGTGTTCAAAAACCTGTACAGTGCCAGGGGTGAAGAAGGAGCCCTTGAAATATTCACAGCATGGTTCTAGGGTTCTTCTGCGGGGGAGGGCTGGCCTCTTTTGCTACTTTATCTGTAGAGCCTACGGCACCAACCTCTTCCACAGTGGCATGCAGTGAATGCTACCAGTGGCCTTCTTTCTCTTTTCCTACAAGCAGGCCTGACCCTATCATGAGCCACACTCTACCACATGAAATGGCACTTAAGATTCAGAGTGCGGAAAAGCCTGGCATAGTGGCACACGCTTGTAACCCCAGTGCTGGGGACACGGAGACAGGCTGGTAGATCCTTGGGGCCCATGGCTAGCCAGCCTAGATACTTTGAGAGTTCCTGACCAACAGGGGATGCTGTCTCCAAATACAAGGTGGGTGACAGCTGATGCTGTCCTCTGCAGCCCACATGAACACACACGACAAGCACACATAGGAACACATATACACTTGTACACAGAAAAGGCTCAGAGTGGTGAATGCCAAGGTGAGTTAAATACCAGGTGTCGTGCGAACACACTGCCAAGAGCTTGCCCCCTCAGCGAAAAGGGCTGGACCTTGATGTTGCAATCTTAATCAGATCATCTAGTTGAGGGCACAGGGTCCTGACTGGGAGTAAGAAATGGCTATTCAGAGAATTAGCTGGCTGCCACTTTTGGTCACCAGTCACTCCAGAGAGTGGTATTATTTTGCTTGTACAAATAAAGTTTGTCCGAAGATCAGAGGATGTAGCTTGCCACTAGCTAACCATAGAGATCAGGAAGTCTGTACAAATAGGAAGTGATATGACTGGGCTGAAACAGGAAGTGAGATGGAGGGGCAGGAACAGGAAGTGATATGGCTGGGCTGAAACAGGAAGTGAGATGGAGGGGCAGGAACAGGAAGTGAGGTGGCTGGGCAGAGAGACGATGTGTGAAGAAACAGGAAAGTCGCTGTCTTGTCTGCTGAGATGCTAATGAGGTAAATGTGTCTTTGACTTGCTCCTTCTCTCTGATCTCTCAGCATTTTATATCTGATTCTGGGTTTTTGTTATTAGACCAATAAAGAACTCCATTTACACCAGAGGCTGGCTGGTCAGTCTCCAAGGATACACTGTGTATACTGCCCATCACCTGCGATTGTTTTCAGTCCAATCTGAACTACAGCCTGGAGAATCACCTGCCACCACCCCTGCTCCCAGAGCTCAGTCAGATGCAGACAGTCGGCCCGAAAGGCTGACATTTAGCAAGTTTGCACTGGTGTGTCTGTGCCATTTATTTAAACACGGGAAACACTGTTCTACACAGAAAATAGTCACTTTCCCCAAGCCTGTTGTTGCCAAGTTATCTTTGTCACTTCTTTTTCTATTCCTACGCCACCCCCAATCTACTGACCAGTGCAGGATCTCAGCTGTCAAATGGTTAAACTCAACCCAGCAGGGGCCCCCAATCTAGAGCTTCCTGGCATTCTGATTGGCTGATAGGTAGTAAGTACCGTAAGTACCAATAGGTAGGTACTTACGGTAAACTGATAATGAAGATCACATCTGATAATAAACATATTTGTGACAAAGCCATAGTGCATGGCTGCTCCCTGTACTAGAGGTAGCAACGGGGGGTCAGGGTTGGATGTCATGTGTATGTGCTAAGGGAAAGAGTGGGCCAAAGGGGAGAGTAGAGAGATGTGGGGGGAAGAAGGAAAGAATATTGGAAGATAAGAAAGTGGGGGGCTTTCCAACAGTGCATTCATGCTGAGTCACACACACAAAGACAGTCTTCCTGGGTTGCTTTGGTGGCTTGGGAATGAGCTATCGATCCAACTGAGGTAGAAGGAACCTGCATTTTGTTCAGGACATCGAGGCTGGGTAGGAGCAGGGCAGGGCTTGCACCACAGCACAGGGTTGGGGTACTGGGTAGAGAAACAGCACAGTACTTGCAGGGAGGAGGGGGTGGGGTGGGACTTGAAGGTGTCTCCATTCCTTTGTTCATCCTACAAATGGTTCTGGAGCATGTGCTTTACACCAGAAGCTGGGGTGGAATTGCACATGGGACACATGCTGTGGCCTTGCCCTTGACAAAAATAGTCAAGAGTTATGTAATATGGGAGCTATCATGTAGCAGGCAGTTTTTAAGCACTTCTCCAAGATCATTCCTATCTAATCTCTGCTACAAGCTCTTAGAAGAGGTGCTGCTAACAGTCCTGCTTTATGAGATAGAACAGAGGCACAGGAGGCGGAGGCAGCAGGGTGCCAAGGCCACACAGCTCACATGGAGCAGACCTGGGCTTGCTCCAGGCAGGCTGGCCTGAGATCCCTGCCGTTGCCCTCTGCAGAATCACCTCTCCGCAGAGCCACTTTTAAGAGACTCACAGTGGAAAATTCGCATCACACCTCACAAAGCAGTCCTCACACACAGTATCTTATTGCAGCTCCACAGCACCCCTGTAATCTGTTACCCCAATTTAAGGGTAGAGAAGGATGAGATTTGGACACAGACTCAAAGGCACTTTCCAAGGTCACACTAAAGTCAAACAAAGATGCATTTTGGTCTGTAATCCATTACTAATATGAATCCCCTCCACCGTCTCTTGGGGAGGGGAGAAACTCCCGAGTGACACTTTTTTAGCCCAGCATATGAAAGACTAGTTTAAACAGAAGAGAGGACCTGGTGTGATTATGAACTCTCGGGTGGGCATAAGGTCGGGTAATTCATGTTCTGTGCTGAACTGATTCTCCCTGGAAAAGATCTCCTGAAGTCCTAACACTCTTTACCTCTGAAAGTGAGAGGGACCGTACCTGGGGGCGGGGTCTTCTCAGATGTGACTTAGTGAACATGAAGCCCTGGGGTGAGCCTCATCCAGTGTGACTAGTGCTCTAGGTTTGTCGTTTCTTAATTTAGATTGTGTGCAGGTCTAAGGATTGTGCTTGCACACACTAGGCAAGTCGAGCTACATACACTACACAGTACACACACACACACACACTACACACACATTACACACTACACACATACACACACACACACTACACACACTACACACACTACACACACTACACTCAGTACACACATACACACACACACTACATACATACTACACACACTACACAAACACTACACACACACTACACAACACTACACACACACACACACACACACACACACACACACACACACACACACTTTACTAGACTTTTACAAAAGAAAAAAACAAACCCATGTGAGACAAGACCTCATCAAGCTGTCTGTCTGTCTGTCTGTCTGCCTGCCTGCCTGCCTGTCTGCCTGCCTGCTTTTACAAAAGAAAAAAACAAACCCATGTGAGACAAGACCTCATCAAGCTGTCTGTCTGTCTGTCTGTCTGCCTGTCTGCCTGCCTGCCTGCATGTCTGTCTGTCTGTCTGTCTGTCTGTCTGTCTGTCTGTCTGCCTGCCTGCTTGCCTGTTTGTCTGTCTGTCTGTCTGTCTGCCTGCCTGCCTGCCTGTCTGCCTGCCTGTCTGTCTGTCTGTCTGCCTGTCTGCCTGCCCTGGCAGGCTTTGAATTTGTGATCCTCCTGCCTCAGCTTCGAGTTGCTGGCAGTACAGGCCCATGCCACAGGTCCCGCCACTTGTCAAATGGAAAGTTTGCACAGAGCAAATGCAATGAGGAAGGAGACAGCTGCTTGATGCCAAGGAACAGCCGAGGCCACCAGATAAGTGAGGGGGCAGGAAAGCCACCTTCCTGGAGGCTTTAGCGGGAGTCTGGCTTTGCTGACCCTTGGCTGCAGACGCCTAGAGTGGTGACAACATGGATTTCCATTGCTGTAAACCAGCCTGTGTTCCATTGCTGTAAACCAGCCCCAAGCAAGAATCTAACATCCTCTAAGAAATGTATATTTTTCCTGGGAATGAAGGTCACAGTATCACACCACAGTGTCTGGCTCCACAGACAGACTCATTTCCTTAACATGGGTGGCAAGATCACCTTGCTTGTTTAGAAATAAATGACCACTGTTGGTAAATCTTTGGCAAGTGCATGATTTCTCTACCAATGAAACTAGTCAGCGTGAATGCTACCCAATTTTTATCTGGGAAATCTAATAAGGGAGATTTATTTTAGTGACAAACAAAAAAAAGTTCCAACGAGGAGCTTATTAGTAATTCAGTATGGCCTACTGAATTACTACTCTGAAGATCTGTTTTCCAAGAGAAATGTTGGGAGAATTTTTAAATTCTGATTATAGTGACTTGATAGAAAACAAATGATCCTTGATATTAAACTTGTATGGGGGGGGAAGCAGTCCAGTGTGAAGTAAGGAAAGGGAGTAGACACATTACAGAGGTACCCAGGCATCGTACAGTCCCATCCGTGAAGTGAGGCTGCCTTCCAGGGCAGTTTGAAAAGCAAGGCAGTGGCAGGGGAAGCATGAAGGAGAGGTGCCCTGCTGTTTAATGCGCCACCTAGCGTTGCAGTCACCTCGTCATTAATTTCTCCCTATCCTGACCTCAGGTAGGTCCAAGTTCACAGGACAGCAGGGTCCAGAAATGAAAACCACAGTGACTTTCTTCTCAACATTCTGCCATCTACCTGCAATGTTGACATACTGGACAGCAAAGACGTCAGGTCTGAGTGTCTGAGTATTCCATGGGGCTTCTTTTGGTTTGGGGTTTGGGTATCAGGTGTGGTCAGCTTGCCTGTCGTGGAAAGCCCTGATCACATGCTGCGTCTTTCCCAAGCCTATGTAGACTGCTCTTGCGGCCCATCCTCTGGAGCACCTGAGACTGTTCCCCAGACTCCTTGCTTTTCAGCCCGTCTCTGAGATGGACCTGGACAACTGTGTTCAGCACCAGCATCTGAACCAGCAACTCTGGTCCAGGACAGCGCTAACTCCCAATGGAAGACAAACACTTAGCAACATATCACTTTCTCTCCCTCTTGGACGTCTGAGTAAAGTGCTGGACTAGGTTTTCCTAGCAAACTCTAAATGTGACCCACCCATTGCTACCAGTTGGATATTTGATAGGTAACAGTCCCGAAACTGCCTGTCAAACTGATTTATTTGTAAATCTAACAAATCCATTGTTGAAGAGTATACTATTTTTGAAAACGAGCATTATATATACATACATATCCATATATTTGCATATGATAGTAATACTTGGTAACTGAACATACACCAGTTTTCTAATCAATTATTAAACGATTCTCTTCAGTGGCATACTAGATACTATCTAAGTGTTTTGCTTAGTACTTAGAGATGGAGACACCTCCATCTGACAGCTGGCAGGACAAGGGTCCTGCACAGACTATCATCACATCCTCGAGAATATATGTAGTGAGAGACAGAGCCAAGATGTGAACACAACAGAGCAACCCCGACCTCCTGCTCTCGGTTTCTGGCTTTCTACATGTTTATATTAAAATTATTAAAAATCAAAGTTATTAAAAATCTCATGGATTGAAATCTCTCAATGCACTAAGCACAGTGCTAAGTGTCTTGCAGAAATGATCTTATTAGGGTTTGCAATTAGCCTGTGTGTGGGGCTTATTTTTATTTTCTATTTCACGTGTGGGAGCCAAAATGCATGGAAGTTAACTTGCCCAAGGTCACACATTGTAAGGGGAAAGTCCCTGCTCTGACCTCTCAGCCTCGCCTGAGCACCTGCTCTGGATACATATCCCTGGCTCCTGCTATGTGTCTGGAACCATGCTAGGACCAAGGGCAGACAAGGATGACAAGTGAGATGCTCCCTTCCATGAGGAACCCTAGAATACACAGACTTGTAATGGGGACAGAAAGGAAAGACACTGTAGTGATTAGTTATAAGTGATCTAATATTAGCCAGAAGGGTCCATGCAATGTTTCATAAATCATACATCTTTACAAATTCAATTAAAGTGATGGAGTACATTTTATAAATCTGGTTGGATTTTAATTCATCAAACCAATCATCAGAGAGACCCTGACAGGCTGCTCTGACTTCTTTTATTCATACTGGAGCTGAAGACACACTGTTAGGGCAAAACTGAGGGCCCTAGATTTCAGGCATGTAGTTGGAGAGACACCTAAGAACCTTAGCCACACTCTTAGGTTTGCGCCTCTTAGACATCTATCAATGTTTTGTTTCCTAATGTCTATGACCTTAGGGCAGTGGCCTCCTCTCCTTTCCTCCGGCTTGAAGTGTCTGCCAAAGTCCACCTCAGCTGCCCTCTCTCCATTTGACTCGCTCCCACCCACTCCCCAGGGGTCTTGAGAAAGTTGTCCTTGTGTGAACTTCTCAGGCAATTTAATGTCTGGATGGCGCCTGGCCCCCGATTCTGATTCCCGCTGTTGACACTGATGGTAACCTCATGCGTATCAATGCCGGATTCCATCACAGATAAGGCCTCTACGCTCCTCAAGAAGAAGCTCACTCACCCCTTCGTGAATAGCCAACAGCAGGGAGTATAAGGCCTTGAGGACAGCGAGTCCTAAGTCCATGTTTGCTGAATAGAGGAGTTTTCAGAAGACAGATATCCCAAGGCCAAGAGCCCTACAAACCTGGGGAGTGAACAAATGAGCTTGAGCAGGGCTTGGCCTACTTCGGGGGCTACTTCTTGCATTGGGCAGTCCTTATCGTGTGTATATAGGAGGATCTGTCCTCCATCAAACCAAATTTACTACTGCCAAAGCTGGTTTTTGTTTGTTTGTTTGTTTGTTTTTTGTAAATTCAATTCAATGTATTCCCTAAAGTAAAACTGACAGCAAGGACAGAGATTCCCACTTTATCAGTAATGCAACCTTCTACGCATCAATTCAGATGGTTTTAAATAGGAACACAGGTTTTACTTTAATAAAGGCTTCCTACATGTCCTATGTTTTACATATGTAAGTTGACTCAGCTTCTTACAAAAACCTTGGGGTCCTGTCTGCTCACCTCTGTTCTGCATCTGGAGTGAGTGAGCTAAGGCTAGGAAGGAACTGGCCTAAGATGAATAGTTTGTCCCCAAAGCCATGGGTCATAGCAGAGTCCCCTTCAGCTCCCTCAGCCCTGCCTCCAGCCTCTTCTCTCCTGGGTGCTAGATTTCTAACTTCGGTGTTCAAGCTGTTAACTCTTTTAGTGAAGGAAACAGTGACAGCAAGATGATTCCAACATTGGTGTTCTTACAGTGAATATGTTACCAGGTCCACACAGTCAATCATTCATTCCCCCATTGAATATTAGATTGTGGTCTATGGCATCAGATAGAAAGTGATAATGAAACAATGCAAAAGTCTTGTCTTTCTAGAGCTTACATTTTAAAACAGGAAGACAGATGTTCCAATTAATAAAATAACCAGTGAGGAGCCACAGAGATGTCTCAGTCAGTAAAATGCCTGTTGACCAACTGGAGGACCTGAGTTCCGATCCTAGCACCCACATACAAAGCCAGGCATGGTGGTGCGTGCCTGTAACCCTGGTGCTGGGCAGTGGAGACAGGAGGACCCCCAAGACTTGCAGGCTAGCCAGGCTAACTGAATGGGTGAGTTCCAGGCTCAGAGAGAGACCCTGCCTCAATAAATATCATGGAGAATGATGGCGGAGGGCACCCAATGTTTTCCTCTGGTCTCTATGAGTGTGCACAAATGAATGCTCACTTGAACACACACGCACACAGATGTGCACACGTGCACACATGCACGCTCACACGCGCGCGTGCGCACACACACACACACACACACACACACACACACACACACACACACACACACACACACACACACACACACACACACACACACACACACACTGTAATAAGTACGATAGTGGTAAGATTTAGGGAGAAAAGGCTGTGTGAGAGGCCCAAAAGGTGCAAGTGAATAGTTCACGTGAGAGGCTCAGGAGGCAGCGCCCCAGTGATCTTGGAACATCCACCAGAGTGCATCACGGGCCTCAGGGTAAGGTGAGAGCAACAGTTCTATCTGAGGAGTGAGAAGAGTGAGGTGCCCAGAGGGTGGGGCTCACCCATCATCAGGAGGGTTTAGCTTTCACTCTGGCAAGATGCAAAAATCAATGGAGGGTTAATGCACTGCCCTGAATTACTGTGAGGCTCCTACGCTCTTCACATATTTTTTAAAAATGTATTAGCAACTTTAATAAATTATGAGGAAGTGCATTATGTCAAACTTGCAATCTCTAAATACTGCTGATGTCATACAGAACTCCATTTAGCACTGCTCTTGTGAGGGGGTGGGGTGCGCCAGAGCAGGGAAAGTCTGGAGGGCTGAAAAACAAGAAGCCCAGGGGCAGTGGGCTTCCTATTTCCAGGATGCCACCCCTCAGGTTCCTCTGGGTCCCTCCTTCAGAGGAGCAGCCTTCCCAGCAGCCTCATCTCGGCCCTTAAGATACAAGAATCTGGGAAAGGACCAGGCCACTGCTGCAGCCACCACTGGGAGCTACATGGTGGGGGCAAAGCCATCCATCCATGGTGGCGACCTCAGCTTCTCTGACAGAGGAGAGAAGAGCCCTGGGTATATTACCACCTATATTACCACCACCTCTACCGCAGTTTGGAGCTCACAAGACAATAGGCCTCCAGTGCCCACCGCTCCTTTTCCGTCCTTTGCTGAAGGTTTTATTCTTTCCGTTTCTTTCCCTCCGGGTTTCACGCCCTGAACTCCCTCTGACCCTCTACCTCCTGAATTCTAGTGTCACATGTGAGCATGGCCACACCCTGCTTTTATGTGACACTGGGGATGGAGCTAAGGGCTTTGTGCATGCAAGGCAAACACTACCAACTGAGTGACAGCCCCAGCCTCCTGAAGTTCTGTTGTCTTCTCAGTCTGCTTCAAAGCTCCATCAGCTTTTCCTGCTCTGTCTTCTGGGCAGAGGCAGGGTGAAGGAGCCCCAGGGGGACAAAAGTGTGCAGGAAAGAAAAGCCAGGGCCACTGCCTCGGAGCAACCATGGGCAATTCAGCTTCTGGTTTTAAAAATTGAAGCTAATGCATGGGATGAGCCCTTAGCCTGGCAAACACAAGGCTAAGAAAGCCACTGATTTGAAGAATCTTGGGGGCGGGGCTAGGGGTATTTATTTCTTTTTACCAGGTATACATGTAATTTCTCCTAAGAATTTTCTAGAATTTACTTCTCTCTGGTCTTCTGGCTGTTCGCTGCGTTAAGCCTTGTGACTCCAGGGGATGTTGGTTTTTCACCAGGGCAAGCAGCCCCACATGATACTTGAAGACAAAGCCTTTTACAAAGATCCATATGAACACTGCTAAAGTTATAAATTCTATGGCAAGGGACAAAATACAGATTCAAATACAATCCCTAATTGTATGCACGGAGACTTCTAGAACTGTGTGTTCCCCATCAGAGATGGTGAAAACAGCAGACAGGAACTCAGAAAAAAACACTTCAATGTTAAAGGAGAAATTTAAACTTTTCCAAAGCCCACAAGTGCAAAAAAAAAAAAAAATGGTGTTAAAAATGGAATGTTAGTTGTGAGCTGCTTGCTGATACTTGACTTCTAAAGTGTGGTCAGGGCACCACCAATCATTAAGGACGGTATGAGGAGGTCGCATCCCAAGGGTCTGCCATCGTGGACGCATTTTTTCCAGGGTTTCCTATTTGCTCTGGACCCTGGTTTGTTGCCGTGAAAACAATCTAGAAACCATTAAAAATGCAGTGCAAACAAATGTTAACCACTTGCTTCCAGTAAAAGATGGCAGAGGAGAAGGACACCACAGAACTCATTGTTATTCATTCCACCAGGTAACAGAGGCAGGCCAGCATAGTGCCTGAACCTTTCACTCATGACCCAGCCAAAGAACTCACAAGTTCTGAAGGCAGTTGAGAAACACCTTCGATCTGATCACGAGAGAACACAGCATTTTATTAATGTCGTTTTACTCAACAGGTGAGGCGGCCCCCTTCTCCCCATCCTATATTGTGTATGACACTGGTCTGCTTTCACAAGCCTAGAGGGACTCTGCCCCAGGCTGGAGCAGTTTTTGCTAAACCAACCAAAAGTTTTCTTCCATGTACCATTTGTTTTCAAGCCACTGCTTAGTGGAGTGCTTTCTGGAATGTTCTTACATGCCGTGGAGGTTTAACAATGTTAAGTTACAGTGCTTCAGCTCAACACGCAGAGCGAGTTCTTGGTCATAACGTTTTGCAATCAAAGGACAAAGGAAGATCTTCCCCTTAACCTCAGAGGAGTACGGTGGAGAGTGACACAGGAAGAAGCGGGGGCAGGTTAGCCACGAGGAGGGCTATTGGTTAAGAGACGGATCTCAAGTGTGGAGGTCCAGGAGCATGGTGAGAACAGGGGGCCACTGGACCCTCCTCACCTCTGGCCCCCTCATGGCATCTTAGTACATACTTGCTTCAACAGTGCCAGTGACCTCAGAACAAACACTAGGTCCCCAGTGTGACTACTGTTCATCCATATGACTTCGTCTTTCAGAAAGACATTCTGGACACTGAAAACTATTTCAAGAAATTCATTTACAGCACTTTCTAGATAATAATACAATTTATTTATTTATTTATTTATTTGTTTTTTGAGACTGGTTTCTCTGTGGCTTTTGGAGGCTGTCCTGGAACTAGCTCTTGTAGATCAGGCTGGTCTGCAACTCACAGAGTTCCCCTGCCTCTGCCTCCCGAGTTCTGGGATTAAAGGCATGTGCCTTTAATCTTAGTTTTGCTATTTTTGCACTTCTGAAATGTTTCTCTTTGTTTTTAATTAAAAACATAATTCCATAAAGCATAACTTAAATGTAAAACTTAAATATGTGAACCCGTTCATCTTCTTAAATTTAACTGTAAACATTAAAAAGGGGGCAGTATGGAATGTGGGGAGAACCCCTTTAAGAGCATAGTTCTATCACAAATACTACCACGATTAAGGACTCTCCCTTGACATCTGTGTGGCAAACACACACTTTTACCTTCTGACTGGTGTGTGTGTGTGTATGTGCACACGCACGCACATGTGTGCACACATGAGTGCAAGTGTGAGTGCAGAAGCCAGCGGTTGATGCCAGGCATGTTCTATAACACCTTTTGAGGCAGACTCTTTTTGAACCTGGAACTCACCAACTGGGCAAGACCAGTTTGCCAGTAAGCTCAAACCCCAAGGATCCTGTCTAGGCCTCCCCAGAATATGGATTACAGTCACAAAACACCACACTCAACTTGTGTGGTGCTGGGAATCTGAAGTCAGGCTTGTGTAGCTGGCACTTTAATGGGCACGCCACCTCCACCCAGACTCCTCCTCTTCTGACTCTTCTTAATGAGTCTTTGTAAGCCTTCTCTCTCTCTCTCTCTCTCTCTCTCTCTCTCTCTCTCTCT